CTCTCTCTCTCTCTCTCTCTCTCTCTCTCTCGCTCGCTCGCTCGCTTGCTCTTTACCCGCTCGTTTCTCTTTACCCGACGTTTCACCGAGATCGTTCCTCGGGTTCACGACCGAGACTGTGGAGGTACTTTCTCTCTTTCTCTCTCTCTCTTTCTTCTTCTGCGTCTCGTTTTCTCCTTCCGCCTCCTTGTGCCTTTACTCTCTTTCTGCCTTCACGTCTCTCTTTCTCTCTTCTCGTCCTGCCACCTCTCGTTTTCTCGTGTCTTAGCTTCCCTCTCGTTTCAACCTCTCTCTATTTTTAGAATGACACACTACCGCGATTCAAAGACGCGCGCTGGACACATCGTACACGTCCTCGGAAAATGTTCTGTCCAAATGCGGCGAGCGAACGAGAGCGAACGTCACGAAGGTAGAGAAGAACGAAGAAAAGAGAGATGAGAGTAACGAGCCAGGGAAATTTTTTCTTTCTTAGGTCGCGCGACAGGTGCATACAATATGCACCCTGCCGTGTTGTAAAGTCGGGTCGTAACCCTCGCCCAAGTCGCCCAAGAAAAGTGAAACTCAGGAGATCACCAGAGCGTATCGTCAGGTGAAAATAAGTGAAGTTAAGAAGTCGAAGAAGTCAAAGAAAGACGAAAGACGTTGCTAAGAGAGATAAAGATAGAAGATTTCGCGAGATCAATACTCAAATTTACTTCGAACAAATTGATTGTTTAAATTGAACGTTAAATTTAGAAAATAATTATCGCATTTTCAAATTCTCACCACGAAAGACTCAATTTCAAGATTTTTAACTTTTGTTATTATAAAAATACTCGTATAAAAATATACGGAAAAAATGTTTTGACTGACTTTACCAAGTTCTGATAAAATATAAATGATTCAGAAATTCCGATTGAAAATACCAAATTTCTATTTAAATTAAGTTAAAATTAAGAAATTAAGAAATTTTGAGAATTTAAATTAAATTCTGATAACATTAATTAAATTTTGAAATATAAACAATTTAAAAATTCGTTCAATTTTAAAATTTAGAGTCGTTCATATTTCAATAGAATCGTTCAAAAAGTTCAGTTGAAGTTATCAAAATTTAATTTAACTATCAAGATTTTTTGGTTAATTTAAAAAGAGGATTCTGACAATTAAAAAGAGAAATTTAATAATTTCAATCGAAATTTCTGAATCGTTTATATTTTATTAGAATTTGGTACAGCCATCCAAATTATTTTTCTCGTATATATAAAAATTATAAAAGCTTTTTGTAACGTCATATTAATAACACATAATTAATCACGTGATTGAATTTGCCTCTTCAATAATTCAGAGGCCACAATGTCCATTTCATAATACGGACAAAGACGCCGGATACAATAACATAACAACATAAATTATCGTAATAAATAGAATCTTGTTTACGCAATTACGGCCCATTAAGAAAAATGCCTCAACATCGTTAAGGAAGCGGTCCAAATAGCAAAATCTCGTATCGGCTTGGGCTTCGTGCTCGAGAATCGACACGAGTCGGTGAACGCACGCAAGGAGGATGCATTACACATGCCATTGTCTCTTTTGGAAGCCACTTAAAATGTTATAAACGCGTTATATAGCAGCGTGCTCCGTTAAATATACCTCTAGGCATACCGATTTTATGGCGTGCATGGTGAAATCGTTGGAAACACAAGGTTTTACGCGCTCGCAAGAGCATCTATCGTTCACACACTCGCGATTTTTCATCGCGCCTGCTACTGAATTAAATTCTCGAGCGGTATCAAGAGCCCGCACGTAGATGCCAAACGCGGTCAATGAATTAACGAGCGAGTTACCGTGATTACTTTCGGTAAGTCTCATCGAACTATTGTTGAGTCTGTTTCTAATTAAAACAGAAAATATTTTCAAATGCTAATCAATTTTGAGATATTCCAAATTAGTGTGAAAACAATAATTATTTATATATATATATATATATATATATATATATTTATTTATATTTCTAATTAACTATGAATATATCTATTATGATTCAATGAATGATAAATAAAAGTTACAGTTAGAAACATGTCGTCTTCCGCGAATGAGACATTTTATCGTCATTTAAGTCCACTAATTTGATGTAAATTTGATATAAATAATAGGAATAATCACAAGATGCTGGGTGAAAACAACGGTGATTAATCTAAACGACGTGATTTAAGGAATATATAAGATAGACCGATGGTGTTCGGTCCGTGTGAAGAATCATCGTGTCAAGTGACCTAAGATGTAATAGCTTTCCGGCCGTGATCAATAATGCAAATTTTACTTCTCTCCGAGACTTCCTCCAGAGACTGATGAATAATGCAGACGCTTCTCCGTCTGGATAGATCGTGACAGAGCGAAGCTCTCATCTCGTTATCGTAGATAACGTCGTGCCAGTGATTCGATC